ATTCGCTATTTCCATGAAAACTTACTATCCAGTACCACACCTCTTGAGAGAGAGTCAATGGTAGGCCGTGGAGGGTTGAAATCTATCGCCTTTCGGTGCGGAAGACTAGCTCAGTTTTGAATGAATTAACTAAAAGCCCTGTTTTCTCACACCACTCAAACGAATTTCTCTAGAAATATAAAATAATCTATATAATCTCAAATCTTCACAAATGACAACAGTTTTGGCTGTTCTGCTATGGTTTGCACTTTTTATAAATTTGCCCCTTTTGCGTGTTTTATAAGTGCATCTCTTCCACTTTTGGTATTAATATCTTTATCACACACCATACATTTCGCATAATCGCGCCCTTTATTTCTTTTTTAAGCCAGCCTTGGAAATCTGGCAATCCTTCCCAGTCTTCCTTACAATGTTGGGCACACGCACGCGAAAAAAAAAATGACTGCAAGCCAGGCAATACTAATACTGGCCGAATTTGGAATTAGTAAGTACACGAAACCATACAAATCGTACAATACAGACATGGACTCGTCACGAGCCGCTAGGCCCAGGCGATGTAGCCAAATCATCGAGTATCTTCGGTGATTCCCCAGATACGAAGAAGCAGCGTGTGTGGCTCACCAATGTCAGGCAAAGAGAATAAAAATATATCTGGTCTAGTACGAATAATAACACCGATCAACAGCCAAAAAATATAATATAAATAAAATCAACAAATATTACTATTTTCAATGTGCTAAAACCGGAATGAAACTTATTTTTTCAATATTAGTTCAAGTTTTAGAGATACGGTAATTATCTGTGTTCCTGCTGTGACAGTGTTAATATACTGTAATTCACAAGAATGCACGTGCTACATTTTTATATTCGGCAAGGAAAGATGATGTAATCGGCATGATTGTGTTACGATATACATACGTGTACATTATATTGTTTTATATTAGCCATTTTTTCCTCAGTTGGCTGACAGCGTTCATGCAAGAGGTCTTGAAAGTGTGTAAACAATCCAGATCAGTTTTGTTACGTGTGTGGTGATGTGACTTTTGCGTCTCAGAGACGGTCTATTACTCCACTAAACAAAGGCATATCAGCTTTATTTCGGCTGTAAACTAGGTGATCAAGACAAACAGTGGGCACCCCACATCTGCTGTAATACATGTGCTTCAAGTCTGAGGAGCTGGTTAAATGGCAAAAAACGGTCTATGCGCTTTGCTGTCCCAATGGTTTGGAGAGAGCCTACAAATCATATTAATGATTGTTACTTTTGCTTGGTACCTTGTGTTGGACACGGCCACAGGTATGTCCAAGAAAAAAAAATCGGTTATTAACTACCCAAGCATACCATCTGCGATGAGACCTGTGCCTCACAGTGACGAAAATCCTATTCCAAAACCCCCAGAATCCTACACTTGCGAATCAGAAAACGAATCAGATCATGGCGATCGAGTGATTCGTCAGGAAGAAGATATGCCATCAACGTCAAGAGATCCTGATTTTATACCGAGCACGTCATGCCACCAACCGCACAAAATAACACAGTCAGAATTAAATGATCTTGTAAGAGATTAAGAACTTCCAAAATGTAAGGCAGAGTTACTTGGATCAAGACTGCAGCAGTGGAACTTGTTAGAAGACGATGTTTCGGTATGTGTTTTTTGTAAACGCCACAAAGACTTAGAACCATTTTTCAATATGGAGAATAACTTGGTTTTCTGCAGTAACATTAAGGGCTTACTGGCGGCTTTAAATATAAACTATAACCCAGAAGAATGGTGATTGTTTATACATAGTTCAACATTGAGTTTAAAGGCAGTGTTGTTGCATATTGGAAATATTTTACCATCTCTTCCTGTAGGGTATGCAGTTCACATGAAAGAATCATATGACAATATGAAGTACCTATTGACATGCATAAAATACGATGAGCACCAATGGCATATTTGTGGCGATTTGAAAGTTGTTGCACTTTTACTTGGGCTGCAGCTAGGCTACACAAAGTTTTGCTGTTTTTTGTGTAAATGGGACAGTCGGGCAAAGGCACTTCATTACACCAGACAAAACTGGCCTGTTCGTCAATTCCTAGAGCCAGGTCAAAAAAATTTACAGCATATGCCATTAGTAGATTCGAAAAAAATTTTATTACCACCACTGCATATCAAGTTGGGCCTAATGAAAAACTTTGTCAAGGCATTAGGTAGAGATGGGTCAGCTTTTCAATACCTGCGTCAGAAATTTCCAAGACTAAGTGAGGCAAAGGTTAAAAAAGGTATTTTTGTTGGGCCACAGATTCGAAATATTTTGAAAGATACACAGTTTGAAAACACTTTAACAGGTATTGAAAAAACTGCTTGGAATGATTTCCGTCTGGTGGTCACTAATTTCTTGGGAAATAGAAAAGCTGACAACTATAAAACCCTTGTCAAAAATATGCTGTCATCGTATCAAAAGTTGGGCTGTAATATGTCTGTTGTTAAGATACATTTCCTACACTCGCACCTGGACTTTTTTCCTAACAATTGCGGAGCCGTAAGTGATGAGCACAGCGAACGTTTCCATCAGAATATTTCAACAATGGAAAAAGGTACCAGGGAAAGTGGAATCCTTCCATGCTTGCAGACTACTGTTGGACTCTTGGTAGAGATGCTCCAGAAACGATCCATAAAAGAACAGCAAAAAGACAGCGCATATAGTGATTCTTATAAGTATATGAATCTTGTTACTTTTTTTAATATATCCTTAAAAATAAAAAGTTTTTTCTAAACCGCAACTAATTTTTTTATTTCATTGTCATTTTTGAATTCAGCGCCCTAAAATTAACAAAGAAGTGCACTTTTCCCACAAGATACAATTAAAAACTAAAATTTGTTGTCCAGTGTAATAGTACCTTTGTCATTCTTTTTATCGCTATGCATTAGAAATATTTCTCTTATATAGGGAACAAAAATTATTCGATTGAAGGGAAATCCACTTTCGGTAAATTTTGCTTTAAAATCGGTAGTTCGGTAGACCAGGGCCAAAATCGGTAGATCTACCGAAGAATCGGTAGACCTGGTAACACTGCGTCGATACCCCGAGAATAAGTTCTATCCTGTCGAATCCTTCACTTGTTGTAGTTTTATGACCAATAGCTATTACAAAGCTTAGGCGGCTGCCGTTTTGCCACGTTGCATCTTTGTTGTGCCGGGGGGTAAACGGACTACGAATACGGTATAGGATGTATCTTGAAAGGAACTCCTCACATTCCATGGTAATAGTAAAAAAGAATCGAGCACTGTATAAAAAATTTATTACATAATATACAATATACGTAATAATAGATTCTGACAAATCGTTCTTAAAACCAACTTATATCTAAAATAGGTACTATCAAATAATGTAAAAACATCTACAAAACACTTTACACCAAAAATGCTTATAAAAAGATCTTAAGGCAGTCGTCAGTATAAAGGCATTGTATTTTGTATTTGGGCAGGAAGAACTGCCTTCAGTTTATATATCACAAACATTTGTCAATAAACATTATAAAGAGTTTATAAAACATTCGAAAATACTTTTGATATTACATTGTCCACATCCAAATTTATTGTTAACATAGGTTGTATCAAAAATCGACAAAATATTTCCTGAGAAACACTCCGGCCATATTGTCTTTAACTTGATCGATACGATCATTACAACGTAAAATATGTACTTTAATAATGTCAACAATTTTAAATACTGAGTTGCAAAAGAAAATGATCAGACGTGAGTTCTACAGACCGCTAAAATCAAAACTGTAGTTATTCAATATACTTTGCGAGGTGGTTTAATAATGTCATCCCTGAAATCGAAAATCACGAAGAAATAAAAGAAACAATTTTCGAGAATATTATTGAGTATCTCTGGTAGCAAATATCTCATAATACCCATAAAAATCATGCACAATCGCGATGAATAGTGATTAAAAGAATTTGGATATTTTTAGAACAATACAACAATGTTAAAAAAACTCATAGCGTATAAAAACTAAGATGTAGACTTTTGTACTTATACTTCCAGTTCGATATCCACTATAGTTTTTTATGAAGAATGAATTTACCCTTTAATGCCGCACGTCTCTTTTTTTCGCTTTTTGTATAGAGATGACAAAAAAACATCGTTTTCATTTTTTTTTTGTCATAAATGTATTTTTGCGCATTTTATTGTGGATTTTTCTTCGATCGTAACTTGTTAACCAAACATTAGTACAGCTCTGAAATTGTATGTGAACATTCCACTTTTATGGATGGATGACACAAGTGGTGTTACTTTCATTCTTATCACTTTCTTCTTTCCGAAAACCTTTGCTTCTCTTGAAAAACCCAACTTGATGCGAGAAATCAAAGCTTTTTCTAAAAGGGAAAAGTGCTAAAAACAAAAGTAATCACTTGTTTCATTCTTCCATAAAATAGGAATATTCACACACAATTTCAGATCTGTACTTATATTTGTAAACAAGTTCAGATTGAAGGAAAATGCACAATAAGATGCACGAAAAATGTATTTTTTGACAAAAAACATGAATACAATTGCCTTTTTAGTCATCTCTATACTCACCATGAAATTATCAGATGAAAAGGATTAGAATTACTGCTGCAAATAGGTAGTTGAAAATAAAATCTAAAAAAAATATTTTTCACGTCAGAAATTTGGATATGTATTCTATTGCTGAAGTCATAGCTCTTTGTGGATTTTTTTCTTCGATCGTAACTTGTTAACAAACATTAGTACAGCTCTGAAATTGTATGTGAACATTCCACTTTTATGGATGGGATGACACAAGTGGTTACTTTCATTCTTACCTACTTTCTCTTTTCGAAAAACCTTTGCTTCTCTTGAAAACCCAACTTGCTGCGAGAAAATCAAAGTTTCTTCGAAAAGGAAAAGGGCTAAGAACAAAAGTAATCACTTGTTTCATTCTTCCATAAAAAGAGGAATATTCACAACAATTTCAGAGCTGTACTTATATTGTTAACAGTTCCGATTGAAGAAAAATGCACAATAAGATGCACAAAAAATGAAAACATTGTTTTTTTAGTCATCTCCATACTCACCATGACATTATCAGATGAAAGGATTTAGAACAAAGATCTAAAAAAGGGACGTGCCACCTAGATGCCACAACTCTTAATGGTTTCACTTTTATTTATGAAACTTGAGTACTGTAAGGAATGCCATGGAGACAGACGTCTAACCATCGATTAGAGTTTGTTTCCCAAATTCAAAATCCTCTTTTTGTAACGTTTTTTTTTTTCGCGAAAATATGCAGTTTAAGAAAAAGCGCCATGGTTCAAACAGTGAACCATAGGAAAAATTCTACCTGTTACACCAAGATGTAGGTGTGGACATTTCAAAGGGAACATATCATTTTTATAATAATTTGAGCTGTTATGGCAAGTATCTTGTTCATTCGAGATTGTTACTTGCACTTACAGGAATGTGCGGTACACTATACCGAAAATCTCTCGTATTACATATAATACCTGTCTCTTGCAAAAGTAGTATTGCGACATGAGGCTGTGAAATATTTTCGGGATTAAAGGTTCATTCAAATTCTACGTAGATATTTTTGAAACACAAAATTTGAACTTATATAGGATATCACCGCTAGTCATCCTTTCGAAATATAAAATTATACAACCTGCTACTGTAGCTATATTCACTCAAGTACCTATTTTCAATTCCCTAAACTTGTATAGGCGTCATAAAGTTTGGATATTGCCAAGAGTCGTAAGAACTTTGAAAAATTATTATTGCTTGTCTTATATATGAATATAGACATGTTAAAATAATTAATTATTGGCTTCAAACTGACTTTTGCAAAATCCGTCACAACGAATAGCTGTGCATCCTACAATGGAACGAGTGTTGAATCGCCCTTGTTTTGCATTTTTACCTTCTGAAGGGGCAAGAAATGATTCCAGTTTTGGAGAAATTGCAAGTGTTTAAACAACATCTGATTTTCCCAGACGCCTAACTTCGTGAGGTAAGAGGATCGTAAATTCTAGCTGAATGTACCGCACATCCTTGATTACACAGCTAGTGATTATTACTTGTATCGATCTTCTTGGCTAACTCCGAGATGATTTCCCTGTAGATGATCGGGTCCATATTAGTGCCGAGCATCAATAGGATCCACCAGTCACCCATCTCTACTTTCCGACATAAAGCTCTGCAGACTTCTATTGGAATGCTTCTGTGTTTGGCATGGAGTATTCTCGGCCTGACTTTTGGACACGTGATTATTATTACCCTGTATATCACTAGGACTGTTAGCATGGTGGCGAGGATCATAAACCTGAAAGAAAAAGAGTCATAATATTAATCTTAAAATAACCATAACTTGCTGGATAAATAAGTGATGTACATTAGGGTGTCCAAAAAAATTAAAGTTCTTTCTTTCAAACGCATTCACATACGAGGGATGTCTTTTGAGTTTTGCATATGGAAATAAAACAACGCGGTAGGTAGTTTAAATGACTTTCTTGTTTTTCGAAGTATTCTCACGAAGATTAATGCACACGGCATTTTTGAATGCGTGAACTGCTTCTTCTGGTGACTAAACACTGGGCGCTGAAGAAAGACATTAAACGTAAACAGTGATCAGCACGTGAACAGATCCCTCGAAAGCATCCACGGATATACTCCAGTCACTTTAGGTCTAAACATCCTCGGCAGTGTATTTCTAGTGAATCCACAGACCCTTTTTCGTGTCATCTTGAGACTAGAAAAAGGATGACTGTTAAAATAAGTTACCTTGATCTTTCATGAGCTCCCAGTACAAAACATCATCGATATATTTTTGATGTAGGAACAACAAATTGGTTTAGAAAACATCCACTTTGAATCTAAATTGACTGGAGTAACATCGATCTACAGACAAATTCAAGGTCACTAGCAGTCGTCGGCGCTCTACGAATCTGCACAGGTTTGGACTTGTAAACGTGATTGTAGATGACACGACAGGCATCTAACAGTTAATTCACGCACAGGATTGCATTGCATACGCATTACGCATTCAGTAGCGTATACTCGTTTTTTCGCGAGTGGAACGTTTTGTTTATATATTGCCTAAGATACGATGTCTGACACAGATACAGCCGACGAAGTGGTTGACATCAGCGCAACCCCACCCAAAAAAAGGGCTAAGAAGCTACATTTAAGTGCAAATGAAAAACAAATAATATTAAATATGTATATACAAAAACCAAATTCAAGAAAAACCCGATTTGGTCGTGGACGAAGTTATAATGTAAGGTAGCACATATTTCGGTCTAGTGTTTATAGGATCATTAAGGAATATAGGAGCACTCACTCACTTTCTGAGCCAAAACCGTATCCTGCAAGAAAAAGGATAACGGACGGAGTAGATGACTTTGACAGAACTGCCATCAGGAGGAAAGTGCATAATTTTTTCTTCAGAAATGAGATACCTACAGTAGATAAGATATTAAGATTAGTTAATGCTGATGAGGATCTTCCATCATTTAAAAGAACCACATTCCGAAAACTTTTGAAGGAACTTAATTTTCGATTCTTGAAACGGGGAAGAAACAGTATGTTAATAGAGAAAGAAGAAATTGTTGTGTGGAGAAGGGAATACCTTAGAAAGATTCGGAAGTTTCGCGATGAAAAAAGAAAAATTTACTATTTGGACGAAACGTGGGTGAATGCTGGACATACTCAAGCGAAAGTTTGGGTCGACAAATCAGTAACATCATCAAGGCAGGCTTTTCTAGACGGTCTTTCGGCTGGATTGAAAAATCCTGCAGGTAAGCTCCTTCATCTATCCGGCAATTTAATTTTGATAAATTCGGGCAAATAATATGCTGTGATAGCAGATAATGTGTGATATTCTCCAAAAATGGTGCATTCGCAGTGTAGTCATTAGGAAAAAAACTTCGGCCCTCTTTTAAGCGTTATTTTGAAATTTATTATCATTTTTGGGTGCAGTCAATTTGCTTTGAATGGGTTTTGAGAAGTTGCAAACTTCAATTTTCTACGTTTTTCAGTTTTTGATCAGCATTCCGTGACTCTTAAATTCAGCTAAATGAACTCAATTGCCTCATTCCTTCAAATTTAATCAATCCATAGTGTAAGGAATAATTTATTTCCAGGAAAAGGCAAACGGCTGATCATTTGTCACGTAGGTAGTGAAGACGGCTTTGTTCCCGAAGCACTGTGGGCCTTTGAATCAAAAAAGACAGGGGACTATCATGAGGAGATGGACGGCAATTCCTTTGAAAATTGGTTCTCCAAAATGTTACTAAAGCTGGAGAATAACGCTGTTATTGTACTGGATAATGCCCCGTACCATTCTAGAAAAATAGAAAAAATTCCCACAATGGCAACTAAAAAAGCAAACATACAACAATGGCTGGCCTCAAAACAGATCGATTTTGATGAAACTATGGTCAAGGGTGAATTGATAAGTATAGTCAATAGACATAAATACAAATACGATTTTAAAATGATCGACGAAATGGCCAAAAAACAAAATAAAACTGTCTTGAGACTGCCACCCTACCATTGTGAGCTGAACCCTATTGAGCTGATTTGGGCCAACATAAAGCAATACGTGGCGTCGAATTATAATACTTATAAATTTTCTGATGTTAAAAATCTCTTTCACATCGCAGTCAATAGAGTTACGGCAGAGGAATGGAAAAACTGTATCCGCCACGTTCGGGAGAAGGTTGAGGTCAAAATGTGGGATTTGGACAATGTCATCGATACCCAAATTGAACCTCTAATAATTCATTTAAACGATTCAGAAGATTCAAGTTCCTCTTCTGAATGAGTGCGCGCAGCTTACTTACTAATAACTAAAAAGTGTAGTTAACTCATTTGTGAATCTCTAACTGAAATTTACTGTAAAAGATAATAATTATCTTGTATGAAATTTTTGATGACTACCCATAATATCTTGATGCGGTCCTGTAATGTCTCCTGCGCCTAAACACTCACTCACGAGCAATATGCGTGTATTTGTTTGGGTTTAGTTTCTTTCTTCAGCGCCTAGAGTATAGAACCTTTGACCACGCAGTCTGTTTTTTAATTTTCGGGAAAGTAAAGAAATCGTTAGGACTTAGATCGGGACTATATGGAGGATAGTCCAATAATTCCACGTTTTCTTCCGTTAAATACTGCCTTGTTTTTGGTCTGTGTGCGAGCTTGCATTGTCTTGGTGGAGGATGATTCTTCTTTCCAACATAGTCTATAGCATGAAAGGTACGAGATTTCGTTTGAAATCACATGCCAGAAAGTAAAATAACCCATACCATATTACCGAATCTGAAATAAATTCCAAATTGTGAACCTAGCATTATTTTTCTCAACACTATCTTATGTGTAATGGTTACCGACATTTCGAACACAAATGTTTGAACTGTATTGCGACGACATGATAAGCACTAACGTAAAAATGTATTAAAAAATCGTTATCCATATCAGCATTTAGTTAAATGTTTCCTCTGTCCTACGCCCAGGCAAAACACAACATGCCCAAAAGCGGGATTGTACAGGTCCGTATTTTCCTCAATTGTCTTGGAATAACACTGATCAACAGCCAAAAAATATCCTAAGTAAAATCAACAAAATATTACTATTTTTAATGTGCTAAAACCGGAATGAAACTTATTTTTTCAATATTAGTTCAAGTTTTATAGATACGGTAATTATATGTGTTCCTGCTGTGACAGTGTTAATATACTGTAATTCACAAGAATGCACGTGCTACATTTTTATATTCAGCAAGGAAAGATGATGTAATCGGCATGATTGTGTTACGTTATACATACGTGTACATTACATTGTTTTATATTAGCCATTTTTTCCTCAGTTGGCTGACAGCGTTCATGCAAGATGTCTCGAAAGTGTGTAAACAATCCAGATCAGTTTTGTTACGTGTGGTGATGTGACTTTTGTGTCTCAGAGACAGTCTATTACTCCACTAATAACAAAGGCATATCAGCTTTATTTCGGTTGTAAACTAGGTGATCAAGACAAACAGTGGGCACCCCACATCTGCTGTAATACATGTGCTTCAAGTCTGAGGAGCTGGTTAATGGCAAAAAACGGTCTATGCGCTTTGCTGTCCCAATGGTTTGGAGAGAGCCAACAAATCATATTAATGATTGTTACTTTTGCATGGTACCTTGTGTTGGACAAGCCACAGGTATGTCCAAGAAAAAAAAATCGGTTATTAACTACCCAAACATACCATCTGCGATGAGACCTGTGGCTCACAGTGACGAAAATCCTATTCCAAAACCCCCAGAATCCTACACTTGCGAATCAGAAAACGAATCAGATCATGGCGATCGAGTGATTCGTCAGGAAGAAGATATGCCATCAACGTCAAGAGATCCTGATTTTATACCGAGCACGTCATGCCACCAACCGCACAAAATAACACAGTCAGAATTAAATGATCTTGTAAGAGATTTAGAACTTCCAAAATGTAAGGCAGAGTTACTTGGATCAAGACTGCAGCAGTGGAACTTGTTAGAAGACGATGTTTCGATATGTGTTTTTTCGTAAACGCGACAAAGATTTAGAACCATTTTTCAATATGGAGAATAACTTGGTTTTCTGCAGTAACATTAACGGCTTACTGGCGGCTTTAAATATAAACTATAACCCAGAAGAATGGAGATTGTTGATAGACAGTTCAACATTGAGTTTAATGGCAGTGTTATTGCATATTGGAAATATTTTACCACCTCTTCCTGTAGGGTATGCAGTTCACATGAAAGAATCATATGACAATATGAAGTACCTATTGACATGCATAAAATACGATGAGCACCAATGGCATATTTGTGGCGATTTGAAAGTTGTTGCACTTTTACTTGGGCTGCAGCTAGGCTACACAAAGTTTTGCTGTTTTTTGTGCGAATGAGACAGTCGGGCAAAGGCACTTCATTACACCAGACAAAACTGGCATGTTCGTCAATTCCTAGAGCCAGGTCAAAAAATGTACAGCATATGCCATTAATAGATTCGAAAAAAAATTTATTAACACCACTGCATATCAAGTTGGGCCTAATGAAAAACTTTGTCAAGGCATTAGATAGAGATGGGTCAACTTTTCAATACCTGCGTCAGAAATTTCCAAGACTAAGTGAGGCAAAGGTTAAAGAAGGGTATTTTTGTTGGGCCACAGATTCGAAATAACTGCTTGGAATGATTTCCGTCTGGTGGTCACTAATTTCTTGGGAAATAGAAAAAGCTGACAACTATAAAACCCTTGTCAAAAATATGCTGTCATCGTATCAAAAGATGGGCTGTAATATG